TCAAGTGACTAATGTACAGCTCAAGTGGAAAGTCATTGTCTTGGAGCAGTGATGCCCAATAGAACTTTCTGTGATAATGGAAATGTTCTATATCTGCACTGTCTGATACAGTAGCCACTAGCCACATGAGGCTACCAAGCACTTGAAATGTGGCTACTATGACTGAGGAAGTGAATATTTAATTTTATTTAATTTTAATGAATTTAAATTTAAATAGTCACTTATGTTGGACAGTATAGCTTTAGACAATGAATCCAATGATTTTCACTTTTTTTAAACAGAACCCTCTCTCTTTTTTTTTTTTGTGAGGAGGATTGGCCCTGAGCTAACATCTGCCAATCCTCCTCTTTTTGCTGAGGAAGACTGGCCCTGGGCTAACATCCATGCCCATCTTCCTCCACTTTATATGGGACGCCGCCACAGCATGGCTTGACAAGCGGTGCGTTGGTGCGTGCCCAGGATCCTAACGGGCGAACCCCAGGCCGCCGCAGCGGAGTGCACGCACTTAACCGCTTGCGCCACCGGGCCAGCCCCTAGAACCCTCCTTTCAAAAAATGATTTTTTATCATGCAGGATATTATACCTATAGAAGAGTTATAAAACATCATTTTTTTAAAAAATAGCTAATATTATTATACTAACAGCTAATAACTAACACATACTAGCCCAAAGTGCTACTATGTGCCAGGCACTGTTCTAAGCATTTCCATATATCACATGTATTAACTGACTTATCAACATTGCCCTTTACAGATGAGAAAATTGAGGCACAGAAAGGTTGAGCAACTTGTGGGAGGTCACACAGTTGGCACGTGGTGGAGCTGGGACTCGAACCCAGGGAAGCCCACGCCAACCACCCTCACCCACTGTACTAGTGCCAGCTTTATCAGAGCAGAAGGCTGGTACCTTAGAAGCTCGCTGCAGAGGAACCCATTGTCTCAAACTAAACAGCCCTCAAAATCTAACATAATAAATACCGTGATAACCAATTTTATCAACCACTTACTATGATCCAGGCTCTGTTCAAAGCACTTTAAATACAGGAATTCATTCAACCCTCATCCCAACCCCTTTTTACAGACAGGGAAACCGAGACTCAGGGCAGTTAAGTAGCTTTCCAAAACTGACACAGTGCGTTAGTGGCTGAGCGGGTACTCAGACCCTGTTATCTCTGAGTCTTCACCAAGCTGACTCCTCCTCATAAAATGCAGACAAGCATGGCTGCTCTTTCATTTTGGGTGGGGGAGGGGCAATGGAGACTCAGTTTTGAAAACCACTGGTCTTAACTTCCCATCCTCCTCTAGTCCGTTTTCCAGAAAGGGTAACTGGGGCCAAGATGTGGTGATGGCAGTAGGTCACACCGGTGCCGAGGGCAGGAGCTGGAGCCACACCCCTCACTCTTGGGAGTTAAGGGGAAGGAAGCTGATATTTCCTTTGAACCTAACGAGCAGGTAAGCTTTTCACACGGATCATCTTTTCAGTTCACAACCACTCCATAAGGTAGCTATTTGTATCCCATTTTTACAGTGGAAGAAATTTTTGTTTAGAAATTCTAGTTAAGTCATTTGCCAAAAGCCGGTAAGTGGCCAGCAAGATTCAAACCCAGGTCCATTTGACGTACAAACGCAGGTGGCTTTCACTAAACCACATTGCCCCTTCCTCCAGTAGTCTAAACTCCATCCCTCCTGCTGCTGTGTCAACTCCTCCTTCCTGATATGGACAGAATAAGCCCACCACCATCTCGCCTGACCTTGCTCCTCCACAGACTCACATCAGAACCCTAGAGCCAAATCTGCACCTACAAGTCCTCTCTGCTCTGGGACCCCAAGTCCCCCGACTTCTGTCCTGAGCTCCTTCCCCACACAAATGTAGAATCAAGCACTGGCATCAACGGAATCATTTCACTGAGACATTTGTGAACTGGTTCCAAGCTGGGCTGGCAGTCTGGGGGCCTGCGACCCGCGTGTTTTAGACCCTTACTACACAAATGGTGGTCTGAGGCAGCAGCACCTTGGGGCTTGTTAAAAATGTGGATACCCCAGACCTAATGAATTAGAATCTGCTTTTTAAGAGGATTCCCAGGTGATTTATTGGCACATTAAAGTCTGCAAAGCACTAAGTTAGACCTGAATCCCAGGGGAAGAAGGCTTATGTCCCCTGCCCGTGTAACTGACCCTCTGCAGCTCTTGGCTTCCTTGTTAGGGGCAGCTGTGAGTTGGTTGATGATGTTATTGTAAGGAGAACTTGGATATTAAATTGCAACCAAGGCCTGGGAGATTATTGCAACAAAGGGAACCCTGGTCGTTTTATTGCAACCAGCATCTGCATGGTGGACTGAATGACAGGCCCAAGAGATTTGTTGTGAAAAGCATTTAGAAGACTTATTGCCACCTCCAAACAGGCTATTATGATGCAACAAAGTGGAGAAATGGATAGGACTCTCGGTTTCACCTAAATTGGGGTGTGCTAAATTGGAAAATAGTTTTAAAACATTTGTTGCACTGAAACTGTGCCTATTTATAATACTGGCCTGGACACTTAAAGGAAACCTATTGTGACACTGGACTTACTGAAATATCCTTAAAAACTTGTGACAAGATTCTTTCCCAACAACAATAAGAACAACCAAGAGAAGCATTAGCCTGACAGAATCTGGACTATTACACTAACTGCATTTCAAACTAGGATGTATCATAGAGTAAACACCAACTGGAATCTAGTTACTCTGTTGCAACAAGTTTGGATTTGCTATTGAAACAAATTGACAAGTCTGTGGCTGAGGGTGTATGTGGCTCTTTTATTGCAACAGCACCTTGCAAAGTGCCCCACTGTGCCAGCAGCCTGGGGCCTGGAGCACCTGCGGACAGGGCCAGAGAGACTCCTATCACAAGGGGGAATTATGCTGAGAGGGCACACTGTTATTAAGGCAAAACTTGTGAAATGCATTGCCACGAGCTTAAGGACACCCAACTGATATGCAGGAGTGTAGGGAACAACTACAGGCTCCGGCCAATGATAGGCAGCCATTCCACGCCCCTGATGTTGGCAGGGCAGTAATGTTATCCCATCTTACAGTTGAGGAAACTGAGGCTCAGAGAAGTTCAGGGGTTGGTCCAAGTTCTCATGACTGGTGAACAGCAGGGTAGGATGTGGACCTGGGCCTTTGGGCTACTTCCTGCACTTCCTTACAGGGAGACTTTACATATGCTTTGAAGTAAGATCAGAAAACTTGTGGGAAGAAAAACATGCATATTTTACCTACTCAAACCTAGAATATTTTCTTGCAAAATTTTAAGGATCTGGACATGCTGTGACGTACTATCCAAATATGTTATTTCTAAGAGACCATAGGTGTCTGGAATTTGGGCAAATCCAAGACCCATACAGTGAAGCAGATCAAAGATGTAATTACAATGAAGTCTTGTTTGGCTCAATGGGAAGAGACCTGAGTTCAAGTTTTGGCTCTATATTTTTTTGTGTGTGTGAGGAATATTGGCCCTGAGCTAACATCTGTTACCAATCTTCCTCTATTTTGTATATGGGACACTGCCACAGCATGGCTTGATGAGCAGTGTATATGTCCTCGGCTGGGATCCGAGCCGTGAAATCCAGGCCGCTAAAATGGAGCACATCAACTTAACTACTGCACCACCAGGCTGGCTCCTCTATCATTTTTTAACATAGAACCGAGGCTAAAACGTAGTCTCTGGAATCCAGCAACATCACAGATTTTTTAAGGCCCAGCTCAAAGTCACCACCTTTGTGAAGCCTTCCCAGATTCCCCCCACTCCCACCCCCCAAGAGAGAGAGTGCCTGGCTCCTCGGTCTTCGTGGTTTATTAAAGACTAGAACTACCATATGATACAGCTATTCCACTTCTGGGTATTTATGGAACGAACATGAAGAAGCGAATGCTTAATCACGGTTGGGGATTTACTGATATTCTCTTTTCCCACTAGAAGCTCATTTTTGCGGGCTTGGCTAGTCGTAGAGCCCAGATCTCTTTCGCCAGGAAATAGCATAGAGAACCGAGATCGAGGTAATGCACCCAGAACGTGGGGAGAACCGAGATCGAGGTAATGCACCCAGAACGTGACCACTTTGTGCCACAATCCCTCGGGCACCTCCTGGCTACCAAACTCGAGCCTTTCCTCCTCAACAAAAGCCTTCGTAGGGCGCAAATCCCCGACGTTTCGGGGGCCACCCCACCGACTGTAAGCACGTCAAGGTCCAGGGCAGACCTCAATGCGCGCAGCGGCGCGGTGCCCACCCCTCGCCCCGGCGCCCAGCGGGCTGCCAAGCACACATTCGTGGATTGGGATGGAGCAGAGGGCAGGGGGACACTGCGCGTAGACGTCGACACTTGACTGCGCCGAGGCCGCTGTAGTGAGCGCCCCGCGGGGCCGGGGGAGGGGCGCCAGGCCGCTCCGTCCCGCCGGGCGCCAGCTCCTCCCGGGCGGGCGGGCACCCACCGACAGCGGGCACACAAAGCCTGCTCGGCGTGCTCGGCGATCACCTCCCCACGTCTGTGTCGCCGCGCGCCGCCAGGCGGCTCCGGGTTGGGCGTCGGGCTGTGCCAGGCACGGGGCGTCAAGAAGCTGCACGCATCAAACCGCGGCGGGAGGGTGCGCCGAGGGGGGAGGAGGAGGAGAGGGAAAGGGAGGAGGGAGGAGGAGGAGTGGGGACCGGGCGGGGGGTGGAGGAAGAGGCCTCGCGCAGAGGAGGGAGCAATTGAATTTCAAACACAAACAACTGCACGAGCGCGCACCCACCGCGCCGGAGCGTTGCCCCCGATCCGCGCCCGCCCCGTCCGTGCGGCGCGCGGGCGGAGACGCCGTGGCCGCGCCG